GGGCCTTAACAAACTAAGCGAATGGCTCCAAAAATGGAAAATAAAGGTTAGTGCTGCGAAGTCGGTACAGGTGACATTCACCCTTAGAAAGGGAGACTGCCCACCTGTAAAGTTGGGCCAATGTGCTCTGCCACACAGTGACCATGTGAGATATCTTGGCTTACACATTGATCGCAGACTAACCTGGAGGCACCACATTCAATGTAAAAAACAGGAGCTTCAGCTAAAGCACAACAGCCTATACTGGATGCTAGGAAGGAACTCGAGACTCTCCTTAGACAACAAACTGCTTATATATAAGGTCATCCTAAAGCCCATTTGGACATATGGTCTGCAACTGTGGGGCAGCGCAAGCGATACCAACTTAAATATACTACAACGGCAACAGAACAAGATTCTAAGATCAATTGCGAAGGTACCATGGTGCATAACCAATAACGAAGTTCACGAGCACCTGGAAATGAAAACAATCAAGGAGGAAATTCGGAGTTTGGCAGCTAAATACAAAGAGCGAATAACCCGTCACCCTAACGTACTCGCTCGCCAACTCACCATGGACGAGTATGCGAGACGACTAAAACGTCACCATATCCTAGAGCTAGATGGCCGGCAGTAGCTCTGGGCAGCAGATGAGTAGATGCTTCCAATGGGAAGCTACTCCGCACGACAGCATCACACAGCATATTTGCTCATAGCCTTTGGGCTGATCGCAAATAAACGCAAAAAAAAAAAAAAAACTAATTTTTTCGAAAAGACAGTAAAACTATTGCTAAAATGTATTACCTAATACAAGTTTTGTTGCTAACGCAAAGAAAACTGTAAATATTATCGTTTTTAAATTTTATTTCATAAATAAGCGAAAAACGAGCATTGATTACGCATATAAAAGACAATGTAATACATAATATGTTTAATTGTTATTATTTACGGTAATTAACATTGATTGACGATAATGTCGAGATGTTTAGTCAAAGCTACGTGTTACTTTTCTAAATACTTGTATAGAGGTGCGTTCGTAAGTTTTTCTTTTCACCAGTTTAAGTGTGATAATGATTTGTTTACTTGTATTAAAATATTTAAGGAAACAGAAAGTTAAATTAAGTTATAAAAATGCAAGGATCATACGTTCACACATTCATACGAACAACATCCGGCACCAAAATAAAAACCTAGTAAACAAAATTAATTATTACGTAACAGTTACAACTGATATATTCAGTTTTTTTTCCTGAGAATTCTCAAACAATTACTAATGTATGATCATTATCGTTCCGTTTTACTACTACACAAGTATAAATTAAATTCTAAATACCCGGCTAAGCTAAAGATGCCCACTAAATAAACATACAGGTGTATATACAATATTTTTGCCTACTCTATAGTTTATAGGTTTCAGAAAATAAATGATAAATACATTTTGGTGCCAAAAACCGCCATTTCTTTTTTGCATTTTGACATTTCACGTTCTTGTCAAGTCTGTAGTGGCATCAGGCACACAATATCAGCAATGTTTATGTACAAGGTATCAGACAAGTACAACTTATATTTTGGTTCTATCATTTCCGTCATGGAAAAATTCATTTCAACAATCATCCTTGGGGCTGGACTTAGACGACAATCAATATTGACGAACTGAAAGTCATGGTGCCTCAATTCCTCAGAGATACCACCGTATGAACATTATACATTGTTATTCCGTATTATTATTATGTACGAGTATATTTATTATTTCGTGTGGTGACGGGTGAGGACTACGGAGTGTCACCACTCCTATCCATTCCGTTGGAGTCGTTAGAGCCGATTAAGGAAGCAAACTACGCATGACAACAGTACCGCAAAGAGAAGGAAAACTTAAAACAAACCCCTTTTTTTATTTATTTTATAAACGTGTGTGGGAATCGAACTGACTAAAACCACACGGTGTGCCACTCCGCGCCTGAGATAAGAGGGGTCCGGGAACAGCTGATATTAAGACATCCGGACCCTTCCCAGCACCTGACGGCAACAGCGCGGGCACCTTCTTTTGGTAAATTCTCTATTTAGGATGTCCGGCACACGCGGACGCCGGCTCCCCGCATCGGCTGGCCACTATAGCGGATGGAGGAGGAAAACTGCTAGTGAATCTGTGTCTCGATTATTTCTGGGGAAAAGTTCTGAGAAATACCTGAACGGAACCTCTTTTATAGTTCTTGTTCTCCTCTTATATGTTACGTGTATGAAGAATTTCATGATCAATAAACTGAGTTTGTTTATTACCCGACTGCGCCAGAAGGACGTTTACATTATTCGAGTATATGCATGTATGTTTTTTTATCACGTATTGTAGTATAAACCGTTGATGGATTTTGGCTTGGGAGGTGTCGTTAGATTTGTCTTAATTATGAGAGTGACACTGGTATATGAATATCATAAAAATTAAATTGGCATGTTTGTAAATTTTAATTAACCTATACTTTTTCACGTAGTCGGGTTTTTCTGTTTTTATCTTCAATAATTAGCTTGTTTAGTATTTGTATTTCGCATTTTTTGTAAAATTTAGTGGAATAATTTTATGAGTCATGGTACAAGTGCAATTTATAAAATTGGCCAGTTATGGTTACACTGACTTTGAATAAAGAACTTTCGGGATACCTTAGAATAACAAATAATTAAATTTTAATTCCATTATTATTAAATTAAAATGCACGTAAAAAGAAGGCAGTGTCGTGTTTGTTGCACTGCCTGCTAAGGTTTTACAATTTAGAAAACTTTATATTCAGATATTCAGAAGTCGAGACAATCCAGACCACCCAAACCTCTAAATAATCTAAGAAGAATAAGACCACAAAATGGTTAGGTAAAGAAGAGCATTGTCTTATCATATAATGATTAGCAAATTGGAGACATAGATTTAAGGCCAGAAAAAACTCTTCGACATACCATTTAATTTTACATTTCACAAAGAATATTTTTGAAAGATTTTTTGAGACCTGTGCCTGTACAACTATGTTAACTAGACTACTAAATATATATAATTCTTCTGTACGTGTGTTTGTACCTAACTCCTTCTAAACAACTGGACCGATTTGGATAAAATTTTGTGTGTATATTTTAATGGGCTCGGGATGGTTTGAAAACACAATTGGACCCGGTAGGTAGCGATATGTCACCAAATTTGTCACAAGCAAAGTGCGATTGCACTAAGATTATTGCTGGCCAATTTTGAAAAACATGTGTGACATGTAGCGGTTTTAGCACAGTGTGGGTGGAAAAGCTCTTAGACAATCAGTTTGTTACAAAATCATCAATATAGTAAAAGTACATTTCAATAGGTATGATAACGAATCCATGACAATGTAGTGTAAATCGGTAGGCACCTGATTATTAAATATGTCTATAGTGATAAACACACAATTGAAAAAACTTTGTTAATGATTAAATAATATGTATGTCCCATATTATATTAGGCTTGGAATTCCAACACAGAACTTGGTCATATTATGTGAGTGTTGGTTAAGAATTTTATTTTAAACTTACTAAAATATTGCCTGTAATATATTTCACACACTGTTAGTTTACTAGTTAATTGTAAACAACATAAATAATTCTATTATGCAGCAATTTACGTATATTAGCAATGCTTAAACCGTAACACTCATAAATGATGATAGTAAAACTGATAAATAGCTATACAAATTTACTACAACAACGTAATTTACAATGAAAAATCACATTTAGCAGCAATGTCTGCTGTTAAATATTACTGTTTTAGCACTAAGGTGTCAATTGATGTTTTTGTATGTATTGTATATTGACCTCATTTAGGAATACTAACTATTAAAGTATGGGGTGCCTAATATATAAAATTAGGTATATTTTCAGGAATTAATGTGCTCACACACATAATTTGAAAAGTGTGTGTAATTTAGTATTTAATATATTACTTAGAATTTAAGTACATTTAAATAATTTATTAAAATTAAATACATATTACAGATGATGATTGATGATCTCATTACATGTGGTGTGTGCCCATAATTGGCTGTGCAGTTAGACTTAAGACAAATACTTATATGTTCCTATATATAGAATTTCTGTAACAACTGTTGATGAACTACAATTAGATAAAAAAAATGTCTGACATTTTGAACAGCTGTGATATTCTCAAGTAAATATATCTAATAATAATATTAAAACATAGCCTTGCATACAGTGCTCCCATGGCATCAAATTTCTTACTAGTAGTTTTAGATTAGACACTGTGGCAGCGATATAAGCAGGGCTGATTCCTTAGAGAATAGCACTGCTGGTTGCACTAGCCGTGATCACAGGCTGACTGGCTCACCGCTGCACTAGTCAGTCTGTGACTATTTATCAAGATGAATAATTGCTTACATTAAATTAACATAGTTACTATATGTTTTTAAATATATATACTTTTGTAGTATATGTATATAAATACATATACCTACTACAGAATGTTGAAAAGACTAAGTTGATAACTATGGTTATATAAGTTCCTTTAAAATATTTGAGGTATTTAATAAGTAAGAATATTGAAGACAAGGTCAGAAGATATACCTAAACAAGTTTTAAGTTATTGTAATAAAAACCTATACCATAAATAAATCGTTTTTAATATATATTTAAATCAATAAGAAAGTTTATATATATGACTGACAATTTGTAAATTAAAATTGAGGCAAAAATATAAGTAAAGAGACAAACCTTCATCAAATTCTCATGTTCTGTTAAAGTGAGTTAATTAAATTAGATGTAGGTAATTAGCTGATTTGCAATGTCTTGTATTTTAAAATTGGAACAAAGAAATGATGTCTTACGATGCATATTTGGCATATTTATTTCATATTGGGCAAAGACATAACCTATTTGCTGGCAAGGAATCTTAGATATTCGTAATCTTTGATACACAGCTATATCTTTTGAAGAATCAAAAAATTGAGTATATAACAGCAATGAACAGTGAAAAACTCAAAACTATAAACAAATTTAAGTATTACCTGAGGCACCAGCACCGAGTTGCTTGATCCGCTCGAACCTTTCATAAGGATCATCTTTGTTACATATTCTTTTTAGTTCCTCATATATTTCCTCATCATTGAGTGTAGCATACATCATCTCCTTCTTCCTCAGTATAGGGCTCTCATCATCATCATTTCCAATAACACTTAAATCTTCTACAACAGCTGTTAAGTCCATGACGGCATCCTTTTTCTTCATATTGTGTTTGAGAAGTGCAGCCGGCATGGTTTGTCTTTGAGAGAATATGTCATTTGTGTTTGCTTCCTCCTCACTACTCTGACCAATAGAAAAATCTGAATCTTGACTCTGGTGTGCATTCTTATGATCTAACAATTTTTCAATTTCGATATTTTCTTCTGTAATCGCCTCTTGCGTAAGGAACGGTTTGAAAGGCTCGTCAAGCGCTTTTTCCTTCTTGATTGTGTACATATGAAACTTAACGGCCTGAATGGCCGCATCAGGATTCTCATTTTGTTCGGCGGGCGTAATCTGTGTATTCAACAACCTTAGCCAGGAATTAGGCAAGCCTTCCAACATACCCGTCTCAGAGTTCTTGCTAACATGAATATGTTGTTTAACATCAGTTGGCATACCTATGTCAGTCGCACGCTCTTCTTTTTCCCTATTATTCTTTTTAGAGAAAAGTTTTCCAATTAAACCACGGCCCGATCGCCCACTCATTTTGCTTTGTTTTATTGTCTGTTTTAAACAAAGTAAGCCATATCACTGTCACTTATTTGTAACACAAAACTACATTGCTCGTAAGACACATGTTACTAAAGGCGGAATATTGAATTTCTTAAATAGGAGTGGCTTTACACGGACGGATCGTACCAAAGGACGGCGACCACTTTATCATCTGTCAGAAGTATAGAAAAATGGTGAGAAAATATGAAACACGTTTTGTTTCACGCTAATAAAATGTTCAAAGGAGTAATTATTTACTGTTAATTAATTTTATTTTGTAAATTGTGTAGCATGTTAGCTTGAAATCGACTAAAAATTTATTGTATTCAAGATAGGTCTATAAATAACAAAGTGGTCTTGAAGATTCACATTGACCAACTTGTTTACTAGCTGCTTGTAACGAAGCGTTACAGCCATCCTTTTTTTACTTTGGCAGGACCATCAATATCATTGACTGATAAATAAATAGGAATTTCGGATGATTCATTGTTCATACCAAACGAATAGGAATGAATCTTATTAATATTTAAGATTTTAATATTGCATTTTTATACTTTTAACGATTGTTTATTGTAGGCAAATCTGCTTATATTAGTCTATGCATTTCATAAAAAGTGTGACGACTATCCTTGATTTAATTTTAATACAGGGATTAAAAATATAAGTAGATAATAGAATAGTATACGTACGTTGCTACAGTCCTACACTAATTCTTTATCTGACCTCAGCTATAAGCGGCACATGCATTATGATACGCCAGGATTCATGTGGGATACTGAATATTCCACAGAACATCCTAAAAGACTTTAGAGAAAATCTTTAATTTACGCTGGTTGGAATACGTACCTAATCTACTCTGATAGTCTGACATCTAAATTGATCTGAGGATTGCAATTATGACCTGAGTTATTAATTACATACGCTAATGTTGTCTGAAATACAATTCAAGAAATTGCACTTAAAACACAATTCTTATTTCTACCACTAAATTTTCAATTGTAAACCTTAGGTATTGGTATTGATTGTATAAGTTAAATATTGCATCTTAAACAATGTTAATAATATTAGGTAACTTTACACATCTCACACACGGCAGTGTGATCCCAAACTAGACAGAGGCTGTGCTATGGTAAACAAAGCTGGTCTGTTACAGAAGGAGGTAGCGGAAAGGTCCCGGGAGGATGATCTCCACTCGGACCCAATTCGCTGACGATGGAGGCGACGTCTGCGTATGCCGGACGTCGTCTTAATAGAGAATGTGCCCGAAGGTGATGCCTGAGCAGTTGCGGGCAGGCGCTAGGAGGGGTCCGGATGTCTTAATAACAGCAGTTCCCGGATCCCTCCTATTACAGGAGCAGAGTAAATTATATAAAAAAAATGGTAACCAAACTGCTGATAAACATATTCATATTCACTACCCCAATTCATCCCGATGGTGTCGTAAGAGGCGACTAAGGGCGCAAAACAACGCAGGACACCAGCACTGCAAAAAGAAGGAAAACTTGATACAATCCCTATACCAACCCGTCTGGCCAGCGTGGTATACTAGGCCAAAACCTCCTTTCTAAGGACAGGCCTATGTCCAGCAGTGGACTATTAAAGGCTGTTGATGTGTTGATGTGAGGCACAGAACAAATGATCTAACCCACGACCTCCGGCTTAGCACTTCGGGTCACTAACCAACAACATGGCCGTCTGTTCAATGTTCTAAAGAAATGTCGTTTTTTAAACATTTTTTAAGAGAATGTAAATTGAAAAAAAAAACGAAGAAACAGCATTGACTGACTTGCTGATACTTTACACTCAAATATCTTCACATCTCTCTACCACGTCGATAGCAAATAAGCACGTATGTTTTACCATACAATAGAATATAGATATAATATACGTGCACTTACTACATCACAAGTCGTAAACAGGTCTTGACGTATCCATAGGCTAATAAGGCTGCATCCTGGGGCGTGAGGCTCCAGTGGGTACTGGAACTTTCAAGTGCTCAGTGCCCTAACACTTGCCTTTGAAAGCATTACGACCCTGTCGCTATTTTGTCTTTACAAGCGATAGGCTGCTAAAGTAATAGTGCCTACATTATCACTTCACAACTTGCCTATATATATTTTAAATTTAAAAAAGTAAGTATCTTGATATCCTTAAAAAAAGGCAGACTTTTTTTTTTATACCAACGAAATGAAATGTGAATCCAATTGAAATTTTCCAAGTTTTTTTAACATTATAAAACGTAAACCCTCTTTCTAGCTCTGTAAGGTAAAAAACTTGTGTTACTTTTGTCTTTGTTGCTTCTATTAAAGTTTCTCATAAGCAAAAATCTGGAGAATATAAAATAATAAATGTATGGAGAATAAGTAAGAGAATAAATACATTTTTAAATGACTTTAAAAATAAGGAATTTTTCATATTGATTGTATTTTTTTACTACTATACTTGCCACTTGGTCATATTCAAATTCAGAACAAAAATAATAATTGTATACACATTTGTGATAAAAATTGTTGCATGTGTGGTACCTATTTTAATCTGTTGTGAACTTATTATCAGTATTGGTTACGTTGCTTCCGTTAAAATTGGTTTAATAAATTGTGTCATCATATTTGCACAAGTCTTTAAAGCGTAGCTTTATAATGTAAATTAATTATATTTAGAAATACGTGTAAAAACTAAATTCCGAAGTAATAAAAAACAACAAAACTATAGATATACAGTGTGTTAGAAAATTACCGGAACAGCAGAATAATTCGCTTAAGATGCATTTTTTGGAAAACGTTAAACACAAAAGTTACAGTAATTTTCCCTGTCTAACCAGTGGCGACCTTGAAATTGACCTGGATCACAACCTTGAAGGTTATTTCAAGGGTCAAGGGAAATTTTCAAGGGGATTGCATATTTGAGCCCGGAATGGAACAAGAGGAAAAAATTACAACCAATTACTAATGGATAGCCAGGGAAAATTCCTGTAACTTTCGTGTTTAATGACTCCACTACTGAGTGATTTTTAAGACCCTTTTCGCCTCGCATAACAGTCCTATCGAACAAATTGTTACCTACGGTAATTCCGGACCAATACGACCTTCAAATTTTAAAAAGAAAGGGCGTACTTCCACTTTAAAATCTGATTTCAACTTGAATCTCTGCTATATCTACCCAGAAGTCCAATTCTAACTAGACATAAACCTAACTTACGACTTTAGACCCTATTTAACTACTTATTACTATATCGAAAACAGTGATCGCGAGCAACATTCGTAAATTAATATTGTTTGAATGTGTGTGCAGTGTTATTGTTCAGGTAACATAAGGAAAATATGTTATGTATGTAGTATCTACATTGTTCTCACGTGTTCTCATACATAGACCTGAGACCTAACCTATCTAGAATATAAATTATGTTAAAATCTTCATAAATGAACATTTTGCCCTAATTTTTTCTATGCTGTTTACAACATTCGGTGTCAGTCTTTTCTCTATAGGTACATATTTTAAATAATAGACAAACATATATATTTTTTTTTAAATGCGGGTTTTATTTTTCTTTATATACACTGGTAACCACATACCTAGGCGTTTGACTTTGGTAAGCGATCACCAGTATCTTTAAGCACTCGCAACACCAAGGATATAATTTAAATGTTGTCCAATGTCCACCCTACTCTAGGGGGGGAGGGGAGAATTTAGTTTAAAATATGGATTGTAGGCTACACAATATTAAATACCTACCTTTATTTTAGGACCTTAAACTAAGAAAATTGTGTTACTGTTTGTTTTCCCGAATAAAAATAAATAGATAAAGAAAAGTACTGGAGCACTATGCCCCTATACATTTTTATATAATTATGTAATTAATTTTAATATTGTATTTTATTTTAAATATGTTTTTAGGGTGCCGTACCTCAAAAGGTAAAACAGGAACCCTTATAAGATCACTTTCTTGTTCGTCTGTCCGTGTGTCATCACCGATTTTCTCAGGAACGGGTAGACCTAGCAAGTTAAAATTTATACCAGATACTGAGGTATTAGGTGTATAAAAATCCTCCAAGGTCCTGAGTCAACACGATAAAAAGATATGGGCAAATTTCGATTTACCCGAAAACTTGTACGTACCAAGATTTACCTTAATTTTCAACTTTTTTTATTTTTCAGAATTTTCTCTTTACTTGTGCTGTAAGACCTTGCTTTCAACAAAAATTGACAATTCTAGGTCAACCGGCAGTAACCTATAGAGTTCCCGTTGACCTAGAATCACGAAATTTGGCAAAAAGAAACGTCTTACAGCACAAATAAAGGAATAATTCCAAAAAATAAAAAGTTGAAAATTAAGATAAATTTTGGTACTTACAAATAGCGAAAATCTACGTAAAATCTGGGTAGGTACGGAACCCTCGGCGCACGAGTTCGACTCGTACCTGACCGGTTTTTTTTAACTTATATTATTTATTACATACTTTCTTGGAGTCCTATGGAGTATTACTTATGTCAGAAAATTTCAGAAGAATTTTATTTATAGACAGTGAAGTTTTAAAATATACAATAATTAATTTCAAAACAATAACCCCAGTTAATCACTAAATTTTCTTTGCCGTCTTAAATGATAACAAATAGATTTTTTTTAAATGTCGAAATGCTATAAAATAAAGACGCTTTTCTTTAGTTTGTTTGCTTAAGATAAAACACTTATATACCTGCTTATACTTTGCCAGATGTTTGTAAAATGAAATAGGCCTGAATTGCTTGCCTTTGAATCCCAACAAAAGACGCGGCTAAAGGGTCAATGGCCAATAATAAATTCAATTTAGCTTGAGACGACGACTCTGGGATGATGTCGTTCTGAGCGTAAAATTGCAATGTGTATGTGTATGTTTTTCCTTATTAACAAAACTGTCTTTTTATTAAAATCATCCCAAGAAAGGTGCAATCTTTTTTAATATTAGGTATTTACCTATGAAATTGCCGTTTTGTATGCAATAAGTGAAAGTACTTAT